AAAGGTTTGTACTTAAACTGTACTGCATGTTCTAGAGCTAGCTGCCACTCCTGGAATTACTGTAGACTTATGCTGCTGATCTACTGTTAACCTGATTCTTGCTTTTATCAATCTGCAAAATGGCCAAAATAATTTCTTGATGCATAGAAATGAAATGAAAAGCCATATTTGTTAAGTTATTTGGCTGTTTTAGACCTGTGAATGAGCTGAAATGAAAAACAAAATTTATCTTCTGATGAGGCCTCATGCAATTCTAGAAGAATTATAGGTACTATGGAATAAAAAATGCAAGGTGGCTCCAACTTGAGTGCAGACTTACTGAACTGTGTCAGATATGTCTGAGAAGATCTGTAAGAATGGTTACTAATTCCAGCCAACTATTACCCGACTAAACCTTTTGCTTTTTCACCTTCTTTCCCAGGTTGATTGTCAAAGTAACACCTACCTTTCCTTTTTAATAAAAGAAGCTGAAAGAAAGCTTCATTTGGAAATGTGGCTTTTTATTTACTCTACAACATAAATTATCTCTTGCAAACCTTCTGCCTTAGATAAATAACTAAATATGCTCTATTATCTTCCCTGGGCATATATAGAGATCCCATGTATCTGGAGTTGCAAGTTTTCCCCCCTAATGCCAGAGAGAACAGCCTCCTCTCCCCTCCCTTCCCCTCCTCTCACCTTTCCCAGCTAAACATGTCCGAATGTGACTGTGCACGTGTCTCCACACACACTTGCGAGTATGCACATATATGATGGATAATGGTTGACATTTCAGCTCCTAGTAAAGGAGTAGCAGACATTAGACAAGTTGGTAGCCTCAGTCCCTAACAGGGAGAATTATTACCACATAGAGGCAAGCCAACTCACTCCAACATGTCAATTGCTTTGAGAAGTTTTGAACCGAGAAATTTAGGGACTTCTGCAGGATTTTCAGTGAGCATACCCAGAGTGGTATCACTGATTATCACTGTGCTTCCATATAAATGACATTTATCTTCCAGGTGTCAGGTAAAACACCTGAAAATCATTGAGCTAGTAACACTAGGCCAGTGGGACGCCATCCAGACTACCACTTGTAGCCTCTAATGGCAGGATTATCAAACCTGCAAGGCAATTTATCAGTGCATTGGTGGGGAGGTGATGGTCTTATTGATTTAATAATGGAACTATTGTGATTGAGAGCTGTAGGACATCAGAGTGCCTCAAAAGAGGCAGATGGATATTCAGCCTGGGACTACTTCAGCCCTCCTTTAGAAGGTAGAGCATTGGCCAAATGACTCCGTCACCAGTCAAGCTTTGGCATAGCATCTTATTATTAACTGGAAAAAGCAGAAAGTTACAGAACAAGTATAAGGACATCCCTTTCTACCTGTGCCAATGATTTGTTTTCCTAGGGGTGATAATTACTCAGACATTTAATAAGCTTCTGAACCACTTTCTAGTCTCAGAAAGTAAGCATCTTCTCTACAGTGATCTACCTCAGCAAAAATTGATTTGTAACACATGATCACAAGCCAGTGGCAAAGCCAATAGAAATCTCAAGTTTCAGTTCTCCGTTTTAACCCCTAACAGTATTTCCCTTCTGCTTCCTCTTTGAGTTTTTTAAAAATCATGCTTAACTAAGGAAGAGCTTTTATCGCCAGTCATGCAGTTACCATGCCACCACCTATATAACAGATTCCACTGTTTTGCAATTTGTGAACACTTTGTTTCCAAGAAAACAAATTATTCCTTGAGCACTAGAACAAAAAGCTTCCTATTTGTTTCTTATGGTGGACTGCGAGTTCAGAACCAAGAGTTTTCATCATTTGAAAGATTCACAAGGTATTATTCCTCTGTGGATTTGCTGATGTCCCCATGGCCTCATAGAATGGGGAGGAATTTATTTTTTTTAAAGTTGTACAGGAAGACAAATTTGAAGATTAAATCTAGAGCCAGTCTCTAGAGGATTCTGACCTGCAACTGAAAAAAATGAAGAAGAAGGCTTTTATGGGTTTTGTGTGGCTTGCTGTCAAAAGTAAGCATGAAGTTGTCTCCTCATACGCTTAAATAGTCTGGGATATGTGTGCTATGTGTTAAATATTACAGTTTCTTAGGTCTTTTGCATTGTCCGACATGGTTACAGTTAACAAGAAGAAATTGCTCAGGATGTGTACTGGAAAGGGTAGAGAAAGGACACGGCTGGAGCTTACTTGGTCAACAAAAATTTAAAATGACAGATATCTAGCATGTGATGAGACTTAAACACAGAATGCTAGGGCTCATCCAGCTTGGAATGTGAAGACGACTGACAAAGCAAGTATGTTCTCACATGGTGAATCAAAGCAGAAGCAGTTGTAAGGGAATGGATTGTAGACATCCCAAAATCAGGAGAAAAATGGAGTGATGCTTCCCACTGAAATCAGGACAGCACAGGCCTGACAAACTGACCTGATTAGGGCTCAGAATTGCTGGATCTATCCCAGGTTCTCCCACTTGCTTTTTCAAACTGTAGCTTAAGCATGGTGGCATTGTTTCTTTTTGTAAAGTTCATTGGAATATACCACACCAAGCACCCAGTTACCATTTTTAATTTCTGTATACCAGAGGTTCCTAAATTCAGTTTGTTTACATACACACAGGTGGCAGCAGCAATCTTTAGCTTCCTTAATAGACACATGTTCTTTTGCAAATTTAGCTATGACTCAGACTTGCCATTGCACTTTAATGACTCAGATTCAGGAGCAGTTGAAGTGGAAAAACAGTACAATTTGTGTTCGTTTGTTCATGTGGTAAGAGAGGATGGGAAAGGATCCTCTATTACTCCAGGACATTATAAATTTTTGGAATGTATAGTAAGCACTTTAACTAGGTTTATAACAGACAAATGTTAAGCTAATAGTGTCCAAAAGCTGTTATGATTACTGCCTGTGTTTGAGAGGTGGACTGTTGAAGGAAATGGAATATCATTGGTATTCTGACTCAAATATATGAAAGAAACTCCAATAAAATTAATATTTTAGAAAGAATAAATAAAAGAAACTAAGAGATTCCTCTTTTTAAATAAATCTTAAAATCTGATCTCTCACTAATTTAAAACAATACCAGATTTTATGATGGAGTCACTCCCCAAGGAGTCATACTTCTATGTGTCTCATGACCTGAACTGGATTCCTGCTCATTTTCTGGTACCCGCATTATGTAAAACATTTCTCTAGCAATAGCACTCAAAAGCAGAAGTATTAAGGTCTCACCATATTCAGTGCACTACAAACTCACATGTACACAGAATTTGTGGCCCAAAAGGCTCATAGTTTGGGGTGACAGGATATGCCATGGAGAAGCATTGACTTAACATACACACAGAAAGAGTACTGCCAGCACTACAGGTAACACCCAAAATTTCCAGTTACTATTCTCATATTTAATGGACCTGTGTAGCAGGGAGGCCTCTGGAATATATCCAGAAGGGGAGGGCTTCTGGATGTTTAAACAAATTCGGATCCATATATGAGTGGAGTTTAAGCTACTTTAAGATTGGGGGAAACCCCAAATAATATGGTAGTGAGGATAAGCCACAGCGCATGAGATGTAACGGTGAAGACTTTCACTTCTGGAATCTGTTCTCCGCCTTTGCGGTCTGACAAACAAGGAATCTGTCAGAGCATACTACTAAATTGTATCTGTACACCTGATAACATGACTGAGAGGAAAGCTCTGGTGGTTTTAGTGGCCACAGTCCACCTTGCAGGCTATTGATATTTTTTATACATGTACCTAGAGTAATAAATTGCACATTACAAATAAACCAAACTAAATATACTCTCTATCAAATCTGCTTATTATGTTACCTGTCCAAACAAGATAATGGAGTTGGACTTGATGATACCTATGGGTCCCTCGCAACTTGAGATATTTTATGATTCTCAAGTAATTTTTACTAGACTAAAGATGATGTTTATACTAAAATTTAAAGGCTTTTTAAAATTTTATTTTTACGCCTTCCCTATATACTGGAAGATCTGTCAAGGTGTACTTAAGATTAGGAGATAGACTCACTGGCATCACTCCCACTCCTGTGATCCAGGTAGTGTTACAAGAGCCACTGAGGCAGATGGGACACTCTAGGTCTCAGAATTGCCTTGCTTTAAACACTGAAAGAGAGGTCAGCATGAGGAGAGTGATCAAGTATCCATCTACATGGCATTACAGATACCCTTAGTAGTTCCTTTAATGCTGTTTTTCCATTTGCCTGCTTCTCCCCTCTGATCATTTCAACACTTACAGGGGCCAGCCTAGAGATCAGAAGAAATGAGATGGAGGTAGCCAGCCCGCCACCTTCCCGTCCAGTCCTCCTCAAAGAGTAACAGGCAGCAATTGTGTCTTTTGCCCAACTCAAGAAGGGGTAGACAAGGATAATGGAAGACTGAGCTGATCTTAGTCATCAAAAGAGCAGAACAGACATGCCTGAAATTTACAGATGGGAAGCAGTGGTCAGAGAGAAGTGGAGATGTCAAAGAGGGAAACAAAGTCACTGAAGTCAGCGTATGTCAGGAATGAAACAGCACGGACAAGACATGAGCCAGAATCATCAAAAAGCCATGGCACATATTGCTACAGCTGTTGGGTGGTGGTCAAAACCAGCAAAAACTTAACAGACCACTGTGGGATCAGCTCTACACTTCTACTTTGGAATTTATGGCATACTGTTACTGCTGGTGGTGATTACTTTCATTTAACGTAAAATTAAGCACAAGTCATTTTTGGGTAAGATTTATATCGAGTTCTGAGAAAACCTATGAAATGCTAACATGCTCAGAGCTGAAATGAAGAGAGGTTCCTGAAAGAGTCACTTAACCAAGCTCCACGCTGCTTGCACTGCAATATTGCTCATGTGACAACACTTCACCAAACAAATAATTCACTGTAATGTATATTCCTTAAAAGATTGTTTTATGTTGTCCCCCTTGGCACACCTGCTTGTTGCAGGTTTTCACCAGGGACTTCACCGCAGCACTTACCATCTGTTATTCCCTCCCTACGATGAGGCAAGGGGGGTTGGTCCAACCGTCCTCCCTTGTGTTTTTTAGTGGGCCTCGGCCTCTGACTCTGATTGACAGCTGCACTGGTGTTGCTGTCAGTAGAAAAAGGACTGCTCGGCCGAGGTCTCTGAGAGGAAGGGTATGCTTTGCCTAAAAAAAAGAGAAACCAGATGAAAAATTGTTATTGCCTTGAAATGGGCTGTTCTATTAATGTCAGTTCCAAAACATTAAATCTGGTCTAATTCTCAGAGGCAAGCAAGTGTCCCCTCGAGATACCCACTGATGACAACTGCTTTAAGACACACCACAACAAGCAAAGTGAGAAACTTGGCATTCTTTTGTCTTTAACTTTTGTAATTAAAATCATTCCATCTGTTGTGATAAAACTACTGTATGCCATGTAACTCCTACCTGCTCTGTGTGCTGAACAGATGTGTCATAACAACTCCTCAGCCTTGAGCAGGGAAGGAAAACACTTCTGTAGTCATATCAAATTTATCTCCTCCTGCCTTCCACCTTCACGTTTCTCAAGCCAGATTCTCATTTTAGGGGCTCCCATATGCACTGTATACTGGAGCAACTCCAGTGAGATAAACATAACTGATTTTGCAAGCAATGTAGCAGTGTATGTTTGCATACTTAAGGGCTCTCTTTTATCAAGAAATAAAAATGGGGGTATATTTAAATGCTAAATTTTTCCTGCTAATTTTCAGTATTTTTATATGTTTAAAAAATGTATTCTGACTGAATGTATTCCTGAGATATTCTAGATATATATATATACACACACACTAATCTAACTACATGATTTCTTTTAAAAAAAAAATCTTTGCTATTCTATGGACCAGATCATTAAAAGCATCACCACAGGAGCACAGTTCATTTACTACATTCACTTTCTCTAATTTTGATATTTTTATTCAGTTAACTTAACTAGGCTTATTGTTTAATAATAACTGATGAAAGCGAAAGGTCACCATCTTTTACTTTCTTTTATTCCTCTCTATATCATTCTTGCAAAGTATCTTGGAGATGTTAACACCTTAATTCGTTTAGAACTGGTACTTAAAATTTTCACTTGCTTTAATTCTATTTGGAAAATGTATAAGCCAGTCAGAACTTCTGCAGTATTCAACTTCAGAGATTCCCTGACTGTCTTGGCCTTCATCTTCTACCTTCTGACTGATGTGCACCCTGAGGAGGACACTGCTCTTAGGCAGGCTTGTCTCCCAGCAGCAGGTCATTGCCAGCTATTGCAGGTTACCACGTTTGAAATCCTCATATGGATACTGCCTAACTCTTCTCTACCAAAATTAGCCAAATTTAACTTAAATGTTATGAAAAGCATGCCTTTGCTAACCTGGCTCATTTTAACTGAAATGGGTTACAGAATGCCCACCCAAGCAGCTAATTCTGGAGCTGCGAGGAAGTAGTAATAAGCGTTTGGGGCAAAGCTGGAAACATTAACCTCTATAGCTGGCACAGCTGCAGCCAGACAAAGACAAGTGATCAAGTCCTTGTTTCATAGATAGGATAAAACAGCAGATGAACACAGACAAAATATTAAAATTTCATTTAAAAATAAAAAAAAATACCACTAATGCAAAGAAATTCAGATATGAGCCTGAAATTCCATCCTAGCTCATAGCACATTGCACAGATGTTTTGCAAAAATAAACTTGCAACATGCAAGTGCAACTAGTGAGCACAGGATGAAAACTCTTCACACTTATTCTCTTGACTAAAGAAATATGATTATTCATTGAGAATGTTGGTTTGGAAATGAAATAGAAGGCAAACATTCCCTCTTTTATCCCTCTATGAAAATGAGGGAAAATAAATAGCACTGACCTAAATCAGACATGGGGCAAACACAAATAACGTGCAGGCTCCCAAAACACATTTTTCTATGCACCTAATAACTGATTACAGCATCTTGTATTTGTATGCAGTCCTACCCTTCCAGTAAGAACTGCTGAGCAGTGTCAGAGCCTGTGTAGTAGATTTAGTGAGTGTTAAGTGGAGACAAGGATGAATCCACTAATCCTTGATTTAATTTCCCAAGGGTGTTAAAAAGGAAAACTGTCTGAACTTCATGGCAAATCACACAATGGCTTCTGGAAACTGGAATCAAAGCGTCTGCCAGGAGAGACACCTTGTGCCTGAATTTACCAGTGCCCCTCATGCTTGGCAATCAAACACTCCCACGTGAGGCTATCAAGCTGGCCTTCTCCTCTCACATCAGTGAGAATATTTTACAGCTGTTCTGATGGGGTGAAAATAACTGTCCAGAATGCAAAGGAGTAGAGAGTTTGGGACCTCCAGAGCAATGAACAGAAATAATAGTGCTGCTTCTTCACTACAAGACACCATTTTGCATGATGTGGGGTTTGCTGTGGTACAGCAGGTCCGTAATAGGCCTGTCTGATTGATCACAGCACCCTGGGAGGTATTGTATCAAATTGACACTGCAGTAAGCACTGGGGGGTTATTTCCAAGCACTGGGGAGTTATTTCCATTTGCGGAGGTTTTTGTGAGGACAAGAGGGGAGGGCCGTTTATTTACATGTGGATTTTATTTTGTTTCCATTTTGCCTGCTGGATCATTAAGAGAGTAATAATCATAAAGTCTCTACCACAACCATTAGATACTTTGTTCTACCCCAAAACTCTAATAGTCTGTCCAAGGGATTATGTGCCTACTCAGTTTAAGTGCATTTGTGACCTAATTAAGCAAGGAAAATATAACTGACAAGAGGGCTGTCATCCTTTTCTTGTACTTTCCCTTTACATAGCTAAAATAAATTATATTTATTTAAAAGTCTTTATGTGTTTGTGTGTCCATTTACTTTTGTTACATGTGTGTTTGTGGTGGAAACTCTACTTTTCAATGGCCTGATACAAGCAACATTAACTTTGGGCGAATCTTTGCATTAGCTCTTGCTGAGGTCAAGAACAGCACCAAAAGGTTGTGAATGATTTGTTCCTTTCATTCAAGACTGTTTAGGAGACCCTTCAAGTAAAACAGTATATTTTAAATTATAGTTTGGCCAAATGTGTCCATAGTAGATGAGTGAAGGTCTACATCAGTTTTCCTTCTGTTTTGCTTTGTTTTTTTCAAATTATGAGATAGATTTACTCAGTCAATTTTCCACTAGTGTAAGAAGCAAGTGAGGGTTTTAACTACTCTTAATGGTGAAATAACTATCTTTTAAGGATGATTAATACCTGACCAAAGTCACTGGCAAAAGTCTCAGTGATTTGAAAGCTGGATCTGTTCACCCTGTAGTTTGTTGGTGACAGGACTTTGCCATCAATTCTTTTCTTCATTCCTAATGCTCCTAAAAGGCAGTGTTTGCCATGAAGTTATGGCATGCAGGAAAAATGTGATTTTCAGCTCTAACATGTGGAGTTATTTCTCTTAAACGCACATACTTTACTTAAAGATAGACTTCATACCAGACTAATAGTAAAAAATTTTGAATGATATGAACATTATGGGACCTGTGGGCAGGAATCGGCTGAGAAAGCATAACAAAAATGACCCAAGTTCATACTTTTATATAAGATATGTGGATTGAAATAATTAGTTATTTTTGCTGTTTTGATAAGACTAAGCAAATGCAAATACATTTTTTTTTCCAGAATACTTAAAAATATTTTTTTCTAGAAATAAACATATGGGTCTTTAAAAATATGAACTAAATTGTATTTACTTCTAATAATTCAGTTTAGAAGATTGGCTGTTTTCAAAAGCAATAATCACGTTACCTTTGATACATCTAACTTGGCAGATTCAGTTGGCATAACTAAAATTAAATCTTATCAGAATATATTAATTTATTGAATTAAGTTTTTTTTAAATTAGGTATTAATAAGGCTTTTAAACAGTTTATATTGTTAACAATAAAAGCACATCAATTCACCCCATGCTTAGAAAAACTTCACAGAAAAATACACTTTTGAAAGAAGAGATGCAACAGAAGAGCAGGGATGGAGATAATAGTTTAAACATGATGTTCATCATTGGAAAGGTGAATGATTGTGAGGAGATTTTTGCAAAGAATGAAACAATCAAAGACTGCACGGAGGAATTAGTGATCTCTTCACTGAAATATTAAACGGAGCATACGTCAGTAAATCTATAGCAGAGTCAGCACAGAAGGAGCTGCAGCAGACTGAAGGTGTATATTAAAAGCTTGTGCTATTCACACTACTTCAAATCACTAAAAATGAAACCCAATGCAAGGTTTCATTTAATATATACTGGTAAAAGTATCTCCATCCACCTTATTCCATGCATGTTAGACAAGTGTGAGACGCAGGTTCACTTTAAAAAAAATAGGCAGAGACACCCTTCATGCAGAAAGCATCAACTTTGAGTCTACAAACCTGTTCTCGTCAGGCTGGTTCCATCCAGCCTAAAACCAGCTTTATCTGCTGCTGCAACCAGTGCTTGTGCAAAACTGCCGCTGGTAAAGATCGAGTCATCTGAGGAGCTACCTACACTAGATCTATGACTAGAAAAGTTACGGTCCTCATCAGACGCAGAACCCCATCCATTTACCATTGAACCTAAAAACAAATGTAGGGGTCTAGTGAGTTGTACACATTCGATATTTTTTGATCATCTAAAGCTTAAAGACCCACTTAATATGTCCTTTCTCAACAGGAAATCCAAAATTCATTTGACAGAGCTTGGTACAACAGAGCAGTATCCATCTAAAGCTTCAAGACGCACTTAACAAGAGGAAACACAAAGTTTATCTGGCAGAATTTGGTATAAAAGACCACTATCAAAACTAAGTGGTATCTCATTCATAGCTCGCTCCATGTTGCTTTGATCCTGTAAACAAAATGATACGTATTCTCTACAAATATGAAGGCTTCATAATAAATTCTTTTGAAAATTAATAGGTTTTCCCTAGGAATTAAATGAATGTGTTTTTTTTTTTTTTTTTTTTTTTTTACTTGGCTTATTAAAATCAATAGCCTGTTTGATACTTGCAAAAAGCAGTCTTAATTTAGGACAGCACAAGTGCAAATCTTAGTAGATATGGCTGAAGTCAGACATGGGTTTCAAGAGCTGTCCTGAGCAAGACTGGCATTAGGTCATTTTCTCGATCAAAACCTTAAAATAGGTAAGCAATTTTAATGGCTTGAAGGAAGCTGACCTAAAGTAGTTAATTCTAGTAGATTAGCTACTTTTTTAAAAGGTTGGAAATAATGAACATTCAACAGCAGAGCAAAAATATATTCAAATTTAATACTGAGTCATTCACTAAGCCAATGCTAGCCTCATGGTACCTTCTACCTATGGATTACCACCACTGCAGGAGGGGAAAGTGATAACAACATCATAAAAATGCAGTCAGAAAACCAGATACCAGAAAAAGCACATGAAAGAAATATAGAAATCTTGACATAACTAAAATGTAAAGAGCAAAACAGTGAAGGAAGGATTAATCTTATTTACTCTTTTTATATTTTCTTTTATTTTTTCTGATGAATGAAGCATCAATCAGCAACCTAACGTGGCAGTACAATGTACTTTCAAAAGCTATTGCTTCAGATTTTTTTCGAAGTACTGAAATTCTGTTTGTTTTGTGGCTTCAGATGGAGATGATGGTGTCTTGTACTTCTAAAAACCATGGTTAACAGTCACAAAGTAATTCTACACTGTGCAGGGGAGCAAGAGGCAAAGGAAACCTAGGTAGCACCAAGAACCTAGCTTCGCTCCTGGAACAGGGCAGCCATGCTAATGGCTGAGGTCCAAGCTGCACCAAGTCCAGCTGAGGTGCAGAGCTACCAGACTGCTTTTGGGACCTGCGCTGCTGCATGGCATTGCATGGTGCTATGTAGACATAGCGTATTGTTCTGAGATACCTCAGCCACCTATCTCAAAATACCTGAAATTTGCTTTTTAAAAACAGTGGCATGCAAATGTTGAAAAAAAATCCCAATGAACCCATGAGAATCTGCAGAAAACTGGTTTTCAAAGATATGAAGACACCCGTAGAGAGATACATCATAGCCCTAACTTAACTATACAGTTAGCACAGCTGAATTTATGTAAATACACACAAAATGTGTAGCAGTGTAAGTCATGTTCTTCAAAGCCTTTTCAAAAACCATGTCCAAGAAGGTATTATTGTGTTCAAAATTGTTAACCAGTAAATCAATAATGACATGCTTATTAGTACCAAATTGATAAGCTAATTTTCTAACGGTGGTGTCAAATATTAAAATTATCCTGCACAAATAAGTCATGAGTACAACCAATGAATACTGGAATTTAGTCAGTAGCACACTGCACCACAAAACCCAAGAACAATGGATTATTTTGTGATGCTGCAGTGACCAAACCTTTTAATGTCAGCAAAGTGGCAGGCTATAATAACAAAAGTCCGTGCACTCCTAAGACACAAGAAAAGAAACCGAAGAGGTCTAGGGAGGTCTGACAGGCAGAAAGTGTGTTAAGTGCAACAGAGAGTGACAGAGTTTGATTCTGCTTGCCAAGAGCACACATAAAATTGTTATTTTCCAAACAGACACGACCTAATACAGACAGATGTAAGGAAGCCTAGATAACAGCAAGGGAAGGCTAAAACTGAATTTCCTCTGAGAAGACAGTTTCTGAACTAAGAATCAAAGTGTGATAGGACATCATAGAGAATAGAGAGTAAAAGGCTTAGCAACAGTTATTGATGATGTATGAAAAGAGATACTACAGATAAAACACTTCATGAAGATGTAAGAAAATGAAATGCTATAGCTGAGGACATTTTCAAACAATCACTTATCGACATATTCTGCAAAGTATGTAAGCACAAGCTGAAACATAAAAATATAACTAGAGCTACAGATATCAAAGGATGACACTTGGGTACTAAAAATTTAACATGTATCTTGTTAGCTTCAGGGTCCAAGGGTTTTATATGATAAATTCTACTCTCTACACAGAGACATATAAAAACATACTGGTACAGAATAGGTATGGTTTTCAACTAGCACAAGCACAAGACCATGGATGTTTCACAGGAACTTGGGTTTTAATTTCCATTTGCTCACATTGGTCTGTCCATTTTCTAACAAGTCACTCAGCTGTTACACAACATATAGTACACATGATAATTTGGATGGGAGGCTTTCAGGGTATGTCTAGGAACACTTGCAATTTTTCATCCTCTCTTTGAAGGGCTGGACTAAGTTCATCCAGTCAAAAAAAAACCCCAAAATCCATGTTTTAATTACGAAATATACTAAAAATCTGTAAAAGCTCATAATGGTCTCTCCAATGTGTGTTCATACTCCTATTGTACTGCACACTGATATACATGCCAGATTTTCCTAAAAATAGCTAAAATTTAATTACCAGTAGAGAGCTGTTATCGGACTGCCAATTTTTCAGGCTAACTCTATAGGAAAGAATAGAACTCCCATTCCAGAACTCCTCTGCATTCCCATGGACAGCAAGCATTAATAAGGCTGGGAATAGTACACTCTGCCCATGGACTTCTTCCCTTTTTCCTCTGCTCCAGCAGCTGTGTTAGGAGGCACAGCCTGTCAGGATGGAAATATAGCTTAATTCTCACAGGGATGTGAGCTTTACTGGGATGTCACCAGAGTTTACAACTAAAGCAAAAAATAACCCCACCTGGAGTACTGCATACAGTTATGGGGTTCCCAGCACAGGAAAGAAATGGACCTGTTGGTCCAGAGAAAGGCCATAAAAAGAACCAGAGGGATGGAGCACCTCTCCTGTGAAGAAAGGCTGAAAGTTGGGGTTGTTCAGCCTGGAGAAGAGAAGGCTCTAGGGAGACCTTACTGCGGCCTTTCAATATGGAAAGGGGGCTTATAAGAAAGAGAAAGACTGGAGAAAGGCTTTTTTACCAAGGCCAGTGAGTGACAGGACAAGGAACAATGTTTTTAAACTGAACGAGGGTAGGTTTAGATTGGATATAAGGAAGACATTTTTCACAATGAGGGTAGTGAGGCACTGGAACTGGTTGTCCAGAGAAGTTATCCATGCTCCATCATAGGAAGTGTTTGAAGTAAGGATAGATGGGGCTCTGAGGAACCTGGTCTAGTGAAAGATGTCCCTGCCCATGTCAGGGGGACTGGATTAGATGATCTTTAATGGTACCTTCCAAATCAAACCATTCTATGATTCAATGACCCTATGATACTTGTGGTTGCTGGAAACAGAGGCAAAACTCCTTATAACTGCCGAAGTCAGCAAGCTACCATGAGACATATACAGCCCCCACAGCTTTATGTGACCAGGTACCTAAAGGAGAAATTTCTACATTATTTCAACTGGTTCCTGAGCTATTCGGTTTCCCTGCATAATTCTTTCCCCGCCAAAACTCGCAGCAGTAAAACTCCAGCTTGCTTTGTCCTCCAGAGGTGTGGACATTGCCCAGTAGGCATGGCAATGCTGGAGCCCAGCCGGGGCACCTCAGGCTACCACACAGCTGTGTTAACACAGCACACATGGTGACTGCTTGTTTAAAGGCATCCACTGACCTCTTGTTTTCCAAATGAGATGCACATTTGTTTCTCTCTGAATAAAGGCAGAATAAGAGATGCCGACGTCCCTTTCAGATCAGCTATGCATTTTGAAATGGAATGAAACAGGCTTTTAGTGTCTCCTTTACATGCAGCTCACTATGCGTTTTCCAAGAGCACATTTGAGTTTTTACGCTTTCTGGCAACTGTAAATTTTACTCTTGCTGACAGCAGCAGTAAATGCTTTATGCAGAACCAAATCAACTCTGTGAAAAGTTGAACTCTGTTTTCTTGCTCCATAAAATATCTCTTGGTGCTAATGCAAACAGAAAGCTTCTTTGCTCTCAGCGAAAGGTGAGGGGAATAGAGGTGCTAGTTTCCTGTAGACTGCATGCTACTGCTTTTAGTGAAATTTTGCAGGCAATAAAAATGCTATTTTTCTTTGTAAAGTGTACTCTTGCTTTACTTTAAAAAGTAAATCTAATGCACTTGTGAAGTAAAAGCTGCTCACAACAATCCATTAGATACTTTTCTCTACGTACCAAACTCTATATGCATGCTTTAAGTTAACAAGTGATGTCACTGGGACTTTTATGTGTATGCTTATGTGGTTTTCTTCACAAGACCATTAAGCACATGCTAATATTAAGCCCCTGCTCCTCTGCAAGTTTTGTGATGGAATAGGGCTAGAATGCTTAGCTTTGTGAAGTATGGATGGTCATTTGGGACTGATGCTACTTCAGCTGAAATCAGTTACAGAATTCCTTTAATCTTTTTACAGAGAAAGACATTATCCTCTTTTGGATATATCTGACTACTGTCATGATTGCAAAAAAAGAGAATGTCCACTGATTTTGGTGGAAGTGATGGAATCAAAGGGGCAATAGTCATTGGACCATTCATGTAAGAAAGAATAATAGAAAGGGATGAATGCAGAATATAAATATGATCACACTTTAAAAATTAGACCTAGATCTATATTTTACATTATACTTCACTATAAATGCCCAAATATTTAAATGTATACACCTGAAATAAACACTTAAGTTTTAATTTTTTTCTTTTGGGGCAGGAAACACTAAACAAAAGGAGGTAAAAATCATACATACATATTTGGCACTTCACAGGTCCAACTATAATTAATGCACTTCATAAACATTTAATGAAAAATTAATTTATGTCACTTAGCCAAATTTATTTGTGTTTGCATTTTCAATCTTTCTAGATTTTTTGTTTTCCATATTGCTGAAAGGCACAAAATTTCTCAAATTTATTCAAGCTGTTAGAAAAGAAATGCACACAGAACATTAAGTAGTTGCTCAAATGTTGCTGAGCAGTAAAATACTATGATAAAGTGGCATCTTGCTGTGTCTCTATTACTTCTTCAGCACTAAAATTAATTTATGATCAGTCATCAATTCATTTACATGTCGTTTTATGCTAAATCCATCGTTGCTGATGAATGCATATCCCTAGATCCATTAAGCTAGAGTAAAGTCTGTGCTTTATAATATGACCCTGCTAATTGTTGCATTACCATTTTTATGAGATACAAAAAGTAGCAGTTTCTTATTTTCTGAGCACACATTTAATCCATGAAACACATTCTTCCTATTAAATGCAATCTGTCTAACTGCTTAAAAAATAGAATCTTTTGCAATAGGTATCCCTAAACAAATCAATATAAATATTGAACTCTGCCATGGTAAAATATGGCTCATCAAAATGATTTTGTGTAATTTTCAAGAATTATTCCATTTGCGCTCAGACACAATGAATGAACAACTTTTACCATGCAGACAGTGATCAGTGATTCTTTTAATCAAGACTAAAACATGCCAAATAAGGGTTTTTCTTCCTTGCTGAGCTATACAACACATGGAGATCTTTCTAATTTCAGATCTATATAGTTTTATTGAAAGAAAAATAATTATCCATTTGCAGTGTCAGTGTTTACAAGAATATCTCTCTACTTGTATCAGCTTGTATCAGTTAGGTAGAAAAGGGCTTGTTATAATTTCCATGCTACTTAATGGGCGTAGCTCTCCCCTAAGTCAAAAGGACCAGGACTGAAGATATAACAGCTCTCACTACCAGCTTTGCTGGTGGTGCTGGGGGAGAAGATAAGGAGAGGGCAAGGAAAATCCCAAAAGCATAATACTTTGATCTGACAAAATCTATTGTTATTGTTAGGGTGTTTTCAGTGAGAAGCAAATTCATTTCTTATACAGTCATCATATGCAATTAATTAAGTCTATTAAAGTAGAATAATATAACCGACTCTTCATGACCATTCATGCCATAACTTTGCACAGCAATTCATTATAAAGCCAAACATTAAACATAAGCAAAAGAAAAAAATAAATCATTGTGTCTCTGAAAGCAGAAATAACCCTGAATAACTGTGAATTACAAGTCAAGTGAGCACAAGTTTTACAGCTCTTTTTCAGTTTTCTTCTTTTTAAACAAATCAGAATCAGTAACTTGGTATCCTAACAAACCATGCTGGGAATGAAGCAAAACCTTGGCCTTAATTTCATATTCTATCCCATAAATGTTCAAATCTAAACCTCCCTCCTTGAGTTGTCTTTGCAATATCTGGAAAATGTGCACTCCTCCTTTCTTTTCACGTTATTATACACGTCAACTTTATGTCTCTGCCACCTGCAAAGAGAAAAGCTTAATAGTGCAGATTAAACCCTTGTCTGAATCTTCAGTTAGCTGTAACTAAAACTCAAGGGCCTGGAAGACAACCTGACTTTTAAACAGTTTAAAGGAGCAACATTGTGGTTTCAGAGGAATTTAGCAGTTGGACCTCAGCTCACACAGTGCCAGTTTTTCCTCTCAGAGGATCCCACATTTGGCATTGGATGAAAACTTCAGTCTCAGCTCAACCATAAAGAACAAAATACCATTTCACTGCAAGAGTGGGTATCTTCAAGTCATCACTGAGGCATGCAAACAGTACAGGGTGAAACAACTCGCCCTGTTCACCCTACAGCAACTCTATCTGGAGCAAGACTGGACTGAGGGATGCCAATTTAGACTTCTGACAAACATTGAACTCACAGCACATGCTTCAAAATGAACAGAAATAGTGCTTCATCTGGGTCAGCTGTTCTCATTTGCCTCCATTTTTTAATATGTTTAAAAAAGTGAAAACATGGTATATAAATTCCTAGGAAAATGCTGGTTTACATCACAACAAGCCCTGTGAAAAGAAGCAGCTTATATATTCTCAGTGCAAGAAAGAACAATTTAATTGCTCCACAGCATTCTGAAAGCAATCAGATTAAAGAATGAGAAACAGCTTAGATACAATGCATGCGATTTGTTATATACCCTCCTTAACACCAGTAAATGCAGCCTGGAAGAGTTAACAGAAACAGATACAAAAAAATTAAAATTCTCTTCTGAAAAAATTCGCCTAATATAATAAGCAAGTCCCTTCCACCCCTAGAAAAAACACAAGCCCAAAACAAGCCCTCAGAAAATCGAGATTTTACCTATATAGTAACTGAGGAAAACAGAAGTAGTTTTGTTATTTGGAGAATGTGCCATTTTACAGATCATTTACACTGTGGCTGTATTTTTGTTAGGTTATAGTTCCTTAATTGTTTTAAGTCAATCTAAGTGTTGGCTATACACTATAGGGGCAGGCTGTCATTTTGCTTCCCTTACAGCTGCACGTTCCCTTCCTGCAGTGCTGCCTAACACCTTGCCATGCCGTGAACCAGATCAAGGAACAGATCCAGCTAGTAATTAAACAAGAAAAAACAAAAGAAAAACCTTAATTTTCAGCTGAATGAGGTCATATCAAGATAGTGGTGGAAATGAGTGAGAGTGCACCTAGATTACCTTAAATACACTCCCAGCCTACATTACCAGGTTCTGCCCAATTTCTTCCAAAAAAATAACACCAGGAAGTTTTTAACACTCCAATAATTAAACATTTAACAACCCAATAATTAAACAAGTTTTTAAACTATTAGAACAAGCTTGAATGTTATTCATAAAAGGAGAAATTGTAATAAGCACAAAAGTCTATGAATTGGAGCAAAAATGCAGATACTCCTTATATACTTCAAACCGGGACAGCTAGGTAGAATGGTCCAAAATATTAGGTGAAAAAGCAGATGTGAAAACCATTAATTTACTGATTTACAGATATGTCAACGCTGACATATTAATATATACCAAATGGAAAATATCTTGCCACCTGATTTTGTATTTATTTATTTATTTACTTATTTATGTATTAACAGTGCAAAAACCTTACTGCATTCCTAATGGAAAGGCTTCTGAGCCATTAGTGAAATATGCAAAAATATGCAGAATTGTAGCCCGAAGGAGATTACACTAGAAATTCAAGCGAAGTGACTTAATGTACTCATGCACTAATAAGTTAACCTTCTCAATTCAGGGATTTAAACTTTAACTCTATGGCCTTCAGTTGGATCCGGATTTCAAATCACAGCAGCAGAGATACAATTCTTAAATCTTAATTAGATTGGCAAGCAGCCTGGCCCTAGGGTGAAGGAAAACCTGGAAAGTGGGATTAAGCTACACACTATTTCATTCAACAAGGGAAAAGGAAGAAAATTATAGGTATTGATGCTCCGTCACTGTCAAATTCCTGCAGTGTTTTCAGAATAGCAATGTTTAAGTAAGGGTGCAAAATCCTTGGAATTTCAAAAGTCCAGAACAATGAGATGAAATTTAGCAGTGCTATGGTAGTGAATTGTACTAAGTAAGTCTCCCTTAAAGTACAACTAACAATCGGTGTTCTTCTGCTGAGATCAAAGACTATCGACACTATATACATTTGGGTCTCCAATAAAGCTCTACTTTATGGATGCAGAACGGTATATAGAGGCCCAAGTTTAACCTAAGGGGAAATATGCTGATGCCTGCAAAAAGTTCATTACATGCATATAAAATCTGCATTTTTAAAAAAGTATTTTTCGCTGCCTAGACTTCATCAACAGCAATTTTATTCAATCAGGTTCTGTGCATGAGTATAGCATGCCTTTCTAGTCCCCCTTGATGATCCTTGTTGTAACTTTCCAAGGCATGCAAAAGACAAGAAGCAATGAAGGAACGAGTGTCAGAATAATTAAATGTCTTCACTAAAAAGGAACAATTACTACATTCAACAATACAAAGTAGGTTCAAAATACACTTTTTCCTACATAAATGTTGCATTGACTCAACAAATAAACATTGTGCTGATCTAACTACACTTATTCTGAAGTCTTTTAACTTCCCTGTGTTCATCCCTGAAAGAATTTACCCAGCAAAATATCTAAAAGTGCTTTAAGATAGAATTTTTATGCTGCTCCTGATTTATGAAATATATGTTCCTAAGCCAAAGCCTTCCCCCTCCTTTCTGTGTAACTGGCTTGCTTCTCCAGTAGAGTGAACTTTTCATGAAAGCTAGGATATAATTGAGTTTGCTTTCAAGACTTTAAAGCTTTTTAAAATTCATGAATTTTCTTATCATTTCGCAGCAAAGCAAAGTATTTTCAAATCCTTCTTTAACTTTAGAGTTTAATACTAACACATTTTAAATTTTACAGAAATAGAGTGGAATAAATTTTCACTTAGAAAGTGTTTGATTGATGATGTATTTTACTGTTAGGAACAAGTTGGTGTCACTGTTAACTGTGTTTGGTTACCTGTCACAGAGCTGTCTAGATTGTCCATACTGGAGCCTGGAGTATGCTCTAGACCTCTTAGTGGCCTACTGATTTCTACAGTTTCTTCTTCAATATCATCCTCGTCATCATCATCATCTGGAACATCTGTTTCCAAATCTGAAATAAGGTTTCCAGATACATATCCTAGGGGTGGAACTGGAGCCTGAGGAGGTTGTGTATTGCTTTGGATGTGCCTACACAAACAAACAGGAAAACATCATCAGAATGGATGAGACGTCGTACCACATGGTGAATAAGCCTTTCCGTAAGTCCTGAGGCACATTTACAAAACATGCTTGTTAGGTCAAACTCAGAAGAGTCAGTTCAGTTGTACAGTGTACACAGTGTCCACAGAGGCTGCATAAATCAGGTAGGAAGTCCACGGAAAACACAATTCTGAATCCCAACCTAGCATATAAGTGTCTCACCCAATATTCCACCTTGCAAATTACACCTTGAGCCAAAAATAAATCTCACTCCTGCTTAAACAGACTCGGTACCCTTAAGTAGAACTCACCCTAAAGAGGAGGAAATGACCAGTGGGACAGAAGAAATTTTCAAGTCCAATGAACCTATTAGCATTGAGGCCATTTTTATTTTGCATTATTCCAAGTAGTTTAATTGATTTAATTGCAGCAGTATTAGGGCATGCATGTGTGAAATTACTGGATGCAGTAATCACAATTAAAAAAAGAAAAACAAAGATAAAAACCACCTACAGGATAGTTAAATGGCCAAAGGCAAGCACGGGAATTGGAGCTTCATTTGTGGGATCTCTAAGAGACCAGAGAGGAAAAGAACAACCATCGACTTTCAATGTAGCATTCTCCACAGCACTACAGGTACACCAGGGGACCCAGGCACGACTGGCCTTGGCATGATAGCATGTACCATGCTTGAAATTGCTAACTTAGGCACATGGGAATCCTTGAGTGGCTGTTCGTGAGGTGCCATGACCTGATTCAAATCGGCAGCGCTCTGGATGGGATCCAGGATTCTGCTGGTCTCTGGCTTGGACATAACAGAAAAAAATTACAACTGTCACCTGATTAGTTTCCTAGCTCTAATATAATTTCAGTGAAAACTTTGTGCTCTATTATTGCCTACATTTGATAAGTGCGGTAATTCTCTTTATTCAAACAGCTTTTTATCTTTCATAATGTAAATCTATTGGATCTGAGAATGTCACGGTAAATGTTATGTACCACTGGAATCTCTCTCCGCCTTGGTGTAGGCTTTAAATTACTGCTTATTCTGAAGCTTATTTGCAGAGCAAATGCTTCCCTTCTGATATACAACCCCCTTCTGATTAGCAGTTCTTGAATACTTTTCTGTCTGGACACCAGATTCTTAGCTATGCAGTGTTCAGAACACTGCACTAAAGGGCACTACCATCTAACTAACCCTCAATAAACAGTGTGATTAGCTCCCAATCAAGCAAAATACTTAAGTATATGCTTAATGTTAAGCATGTGATAGAACAATTGAAGTCAATTTCTCATGTACTTGTAGTTAAGCATATACTTAAGTGATTTGCTGGATCAAGGCCATAATGATTATGTACTGTTCCAGTAATCTCTAATGTGCTCTTTCTTAAATTTCTAGTTGGCTGGTCTCTATATTTCTCTTCTATTACTCCTACAGTAACCTATCTGACAGGTCTCATCTTGTTTTGTTTCCTCCCCTCTCCACACAGGGGGAACAGGTTAAGTATGTGAAAAGAAAACTAAGAACCCTTCCTTTCCACTTGAGACAATGGAGGGCTTTCCACTGACTTTGCACACCATTGGCTAAACAGCATGGTATGCATCCAGCCAAGCATTAAATAATTCCATGTCACAACTACTGCAAAAATAACCTGTATTTGCAACTCTCAGTATTTACCCCAATACCTGCTATAAGGTTTTGGTATGAAAATAGGATTTATTTCCTCTATATTTTTTTCAGAGTTTCATGCTGAATTACTGTGAACTTACACAGGAGCAACGTTAAAATGTGTGTATTCCTAAGCACACTATGAAAGTTTCCAATCAATTTTCATTTCTCCACAAAGGGAGCACAGACCTTTCCTGTCAGCTGCAAGAGGCTTTGCTACAGAGTCCTACTACATTACCCACTCCCAGACTGGCACCCGTGGTTTGTAGGGTGTAGAAAGGGTAACAGCTGCAAAATGCAGCAGCCATGGACCGCGGAGACAGGGTATGCATCTGCGTGATGGCTCAGAAGTCAGTTACCTTCAATAGGCCAGGTCTAGCTGCTGCCTGGGATTTGGGTCTGTCCCCCAGGCAGCCCGGGGTCTGTGCTTGGCAGCCTGGCGCTGCAGCAGGACCAAAGTACCCTGTTGATCGAGTGCAGATTGCAGACAAGCCTCCAGGCTTCGAAGGTGTCCAGGGAAAACAGCTGGCTTTGATTTGGCACCGCCTGCCTACCTGCCTGATCTATTTATGGTAGCTCAAGCTGAATAACTTTGTGGCTTTATTTACCAGAGAAGAAAGGCTGCTCCTTTGCTGGCAGCACGCCATTCGGTAACTAGCTCTGCTCCTCTCCTCTGAGATTCGCGGGCTTTGTCTGGATAGAAAAGTTGTAAAAGGACAACTGCCACTTAGGGAACGCCCAGAAAGCAACTGACCTTCACCATATCCCCAGCCTGGTGCAGTTGACAAGTTCTTTTTCAGTCCCTGAAGAGATTGCTTCTGTTTGTTTTTGCAGGGGAAATGTTACTGTGGTATTTGCTTGCTCTTCCCTTAAATAGGCATAAAGCACTCTGAAACGCGAGAGCCGTTTTGTACATTCTAACAACTTCCTTCCTGCTATTTCTAGGTTTTTCCCTATGAATCAGAAATTTCCATGGGATTTCAAGCTACAGTCAGAGATGCAAATGCTTCATTCTCATGTAACACAGGGGAAAAGCTGCTACATTGCGATTTCAGGTGGCTAGCGTTATTTTTAATCAGGAATTTAGAACCTCAATATTTTTGAAAATCCTAAAAAATGTGTATCTTTTTTTAGCCTGAAAAGAGAGTATTCCGAGCTGTATACAAGTTGTTAGTAGGTGGGTGTTAACTACTTAGTTGAATATATGTAAAACTCCAAAGGAATCTTATTTTTACATGATTTAACCCATTACCAAGCATTATTGTTTAAATAGCACCTACTAATGATTAAGGCCTTCCCACTGTACAAACAGTTTTGCTATTTCTCCTTCCATTTTACTGCCTTGGAAACATTACTGAAAGGTTGAGCACAGTTGATATTTATGTCATCAAAGAATAAATTATTATCATGCTTTCATTTCCCAGACCGCAGTGACCCCTTCAAACATTTACCATGTCTGCTTTGCTATATCAAACTGGTAAGCCCTAGTTAATTCATCAAGGTGGGCTTGAAGCATTGGCTGCATCTCCTCTCGTGGAGATGGTGTGAGGGTTGCAGTCGACTGTTGCCCAAAGGAGATCGCAGGTGATGAAGCTACTCCTCGGACAGGAGGTGTAGGGACACGATCATCATCTTCTTCAAGCTCATCCTCCATGCCCTGATGTAGGTAGGTCTGAACTGGCAAAGGCGGACACCAACCATCACTGTCATATCTAAAATAAAAACCAAGTAAACTTAATATATATTGAATCTCATCTCTGAGATGCAGTAGAGGGTATACAGGACTTCTGCTACAGTTTGAACCTTCACATGCCGTGCGAGCTTTAAAATTTATTGAAAAATAGGGTCATAATTGCTTAAATTCTCCTTACTGAGTCTGTTTAATTTTTCCCACAATAGTTAAGCAACTTGAACAAGATGTGCAACAAAAAAATTACTGATCCATTATCATGTTTGTTAATGGTGATTAGATAATGTTACGCCACAATCAACAACAAAATGAACTAACTCACTTCCTGGATCATTAACCTAGGAGAACGTGTTGAAGATTGACCCAAATATGAAAATAGCAACATTCTTAAAAGGCAGAGCAAGCTTTATGTAGTTGTACTTATGCACTTCCTTACTCCCATCCTCCCCTTTATTTGTCTACAAATTTACTGTTGTTTTTATTTTGTAGCTTAAATAAAAATTTACATTTTCCACATAAATTCTGGTCTTTCCACACTGCATATAGGTATCTACTTTGATGGGTAATATATTGGTCTCAGAGTAGCACTGACCCTAAGCATATGCTATGTCACAACACCAGCTGATAAGATACATAAGTACACATGTTGACAGCTCTGCCAGCACCCCACCAACTAATCTTTACTGGGACTTACCTAGACAGTCTTAAAATTCTGAACACTTTCAACACACCTTCCCAAGGTAAATTAAAAGATTAACAACTACCAATACTCTTCAGCAGGGAATCCTTCTCTCTTCATATATGAGCTGTTCTCATAGGTTTTTGTGGCTCAATTTTTAGTCTTATAACAAAGGTGTAAGAGGTGATGCTACCCCTGATAAGGGCTAGAAACAGAAACCTTATGTTCTATTACCATTTCTTATGAAAGCTTTGCCAGCAATTCAATCCTCTGTCTCTGTCCTCATCACAGTGCCTTTCAATTCAGTGTTGTATCACAGTATTGTCCCAGGACCCTGTCCCTTAGAGACACCAGCACCACTCAAGATGGTGACTGGTGACTGTGGCCATTCCCTGTGCATAATCTCCCCAGAGAAATTTCCTAATCGGAACACAACTTCAGTTCTGCACAGCTCTGCTGATGATCACACTACTCAGATCTCAACACTGTCTACTGTTCCCATCTTCAAAACATCCAGTCAGTCTGCAGTCCCTTGAGCATTTGCACACATTTCTTCTTAACTCCCAGTGTATTCCAAAATACCTCAGGATAGACAGCTCTTTTCAAAAGGCAACCAGACAACCAAAAGCTCTCACAGCTCCTTCACTGTCAATCCATCTCACACTCTAAAGGCCATTCCCCAAGCACCATCTAAGTCTCTTTATCTTCTTTCCATCTTCAAGGACTGCTGACAAGGTACACCCCTTCTTTCTGCAGTGCAGGTAGGCAATGCATTGCGTTATACAGTTAATTTCTCAAGCCAGTTTAAAAAATACTCCTTTAAGGCTTCTGATTTGGGAGGAAGGAATTGTGAATTTCCCAGAGAAAAATGAATCACTGCCAGTTTTCTCAAGTGTGAAGCTGGGTTACAAAAAGGCTAGGAACACTGAGACAGAGAAGTTTCAAAACCTGTATTATGAACAGAACATTTACTTTAAGCAAAACCCAAAGATTTCTAAAACTAAACAACTTTTGCTTAATTCAAAAGTCAGTAGCCTGTATTTAAATGTACTGATCCAGGATAGCTAAACAACCTGAATTAATAATCCAAAACTTGGTGGAAGACATATCTGTTAATTAAGGCTGGTATCACTTCAAATCTATATCTAGATATAACCATACATAGATACACAAAAATACTTACATGTGCAGAAGTGCAAATAAATGCTGCATCTTAACATTTGGTGTATAGGAGATTTTGAGTGATTGATCATTACCATTTTCATAACACAGAGATTTAAGAAAATGTTATACGGTACATATTCAATTCCTTAGAAGACAATTAAGATATGACTAGCTCTAATTTGCCTTTCCTTGCAATATTCACTCATGACATTGCCACCCAAGGTTGAAGGGACCATCCTAGCTCATGCTGCTAAAAATGTACAGTGCAACAGCTCTGTCACTTACTTTTACCCTCTCAATCTCATGCTTTGGTATAATGGCTTCTGCTTTAAAAGGGACAGGGCAGAAAGATACTCCCTAGTGACTTTTCAGTAATGCATAAATGAGCTTTGGATGTGCTCGCCTTTTGACCCTACTTGCTTCAAATCCCCAAATGTTCAGCTTGATAGGAAAAAGATTTCTTCACAAAAAAGATTTCTTAGTAAAAAGATTCTGCAGAAGTACTGTATCTTTATCTAGATTTTGTTTGAAATGGAAAAGAGCCTAAGCCTGAAGTTCAGGACATTGACATTCAAGATTTGAGGTACTTTTGTCGTCATAATGTAAGATGATCGAAAAAGCCACCAGTTTTAACCTGCCTTTTGCAAAAAAAAAGCCCCAAAAACATAGTAACTCATATAAATTATACAGTTTCTGAAAGTCCTCGAACCAGCGTGGTGAGTATTGGTCACATCAACATTATTTTCGGTTTTCTGAGTAAATACAACTTGGCATAAATGCAACCTTTTTCAAGTACTTATTAAAATCTAAGCACCCTTAACTTCATGAGAGACCTCTGATTGAAATTTCATGATAATTAAGTCCCTAATAAGTTCTGGTTAACAAACATGACACTCTATGTTTCAAATCTTTTTTATTCTATTCTCAGCTCTTTTATTCTATAGTAATCTTTTGCTATTAAAAGCTTGGTTCATTACACTGATAATTTTTTTTCTTCAAAATAAAAACTAGAGATAATAGATAAGGGGCACATTCTATAACAATTCTGTTTCATTGCATACATTGTTGCAACAAAGAAAGCTTCCCTCTTTAGGCCTTGGCAGAAAAGATTTTTTGATGTAAAAGTTATTATCTTTTTTTACTTTTTCTAAAGACAGGAAATGACTATCAAATATATTGACATCCAGCAGCTAATATGCCATTTCAAGGTGTAATCAATAGTAAGAAATAAAAATAAGCAATGATAAAAATATGGAGACTGTCTTAACTGGGATTGGCTCAGATCATGTATATTATTGGTGAAAAAACATAAGTAGATGAAAATGAATAATAAGCATTTCCTTACTGTCAAGTTTATTAGATTAAAACCAAGCAAAAAGCATCTTCTCTGACAAGGGTGGGAAAGGGAACATGCTTGGTTGGGACCTACTATCAGAAAAGAAAAACTTCAAAGACTCTGTGGTATATACAAGAGAAAATTAAGGAAGACAATAAGGAACAAGCACAGAGTTTGTAGGAGACCACAAAAGGGGAAAGTTTCACAGGAAAGAGCTTTCTAGGAAAACAACAGTATGAACAGACTTTCTGCACAGGTTAATAGGAATTTAAGACATCCCAAAAGCCACCACATTGTATAAAATGGCTGCTTGGATGTTAGATTACTTTTTTTTTTTCATCTCCTGCTATTGTGGATTTCATTTTACAATTTATAAGCTAATAGACCAGTAATTTCTAGTATGCAAAATAAGGTGTCACCTGTTTGGGATACTCATACCAATGAAACTCACACTTGAATTCAAGAGTTATAGGAAGACACACACACAAAAATGTTTCTGTTTAGATGCCAACTTCCTTGTTTTATTTCTCTAGACATTCACCTTTCTTATCACATTATGAGAACTTTATTAAAGTCTTCAGTTTTTCTGACTGGAAGTTCATTTTTCACTTGTAATTCACAATGTAATTACATCTGCATGTAATTAATTCTAAAATTAAAACACATTGAACTTGTCATACATAGTATATATCAAAGCAAATCAAGAAAAAATAAAACAGTTTAAAAAAATAGCTTGCTGCTTTTTTTACTCAATGTGTCAATATTAAGGGCAACATAAGGAATGCAGTCTATCGTTCGCTCCGTTTTAGCATGTTGAAAGCCATAGAAACAAGATCAACCCCCTGAATACAGAACAACCATTAGTATTGAATACATCCTCAGGAAGTATGGGCATTGCAGATTCATTGGGTTCAGTGAAGTTGGTTGCAAATTACTGTGGTTCAAGATAACTCAAGTCTAATCTTCAATTTTTTTGTATGTGTTTCGTAAAATGTACATTAGAAGGTCTTATTACAACCACTATTAATGAGATATTACAAAAACCAGAAAACAGTAATTCAAAAGATAATCAGAGGAAAAACTGAGTCTGAATTGTTGACAACCTGGACAACCTGGTGATCACCTTATTCTTAAATAACCAGTGTTGTCTTGGTGACCAACATCGTTCCTTCCAGCTAAATAACAGATACTTATGCAACTGAGGAGTCAAGCCCTATGTCACAAGGGATTTCTCTAGAAGGTATTTCCATTTATCTTTTATGCTATTTCATTGTCCTGAAAGAAAATCCAAGTTGTTTGCCTTCTAAAGCATAATTACTTTAGTGAAATAGCTGCACATGTGTTTTAAGGATATAAACTGATAAAGACAAATATTATATGGTGAAATCATCTTAAATTTATTTTAGCTTTTTATAACAGAATACAGAACGTAATGATTATATGCAATTTTTGCCTTGAGATTTAAACAACACTCACAATCACTAATGTTATTCAGTTTCCCTTATATTTGATTTGAAATTCTAACTATAATACAGCCTGAATGGACCTTCATTTTAAAAGGAACTCCACTGACTTAAACAGTTAATTAGTATTAATTTTAAGAGTTAAAGGACTTCATATAAACTCAAATATTAATATTTAATTCTTGTAATTTTCATTATAAAAGTAGTGATGATAAATTCAGGCTAACAGCAGAGAGAACACTTGAAATATCTTTATTTAGTAAAGCTATTACAGTGATTTTTAAAACATATGTTTCATCCTTAGGAAATATTGATTAATCCATGTATTTAAACAGACAGGAGTTTGTCCCTGACAGAACACTGATTCTCCAAGGCTCCAACAGAACTGACCACAGTACACTATTTTTCTATATACTCTGATTTGCCTCCCGAGTTTAATAACCTTGTATTTCGTATAATTCAACTTTATAAAAATCATTACATAATTGTTCTCTGTGCAGGAAATCTCTCTTTCCTCTCATTTAGTGCTTTTTGTGTGATTTTGTGTCCTTGAGAAGAACTTTAAGCTATCCAAAAATAAGTGTAAGGTTCCAGAAAGTCAAGAGTTGTTTAAATAACAAAATAAAAGGCCTGTAAATAGGATACTTTCCTCAACTGAAATTTCTTCTAAAAGCTGATGAGAAGATTACTATCCACTGGTTGATCTTCTAAAATTAATCCAGTTTAGTGTGGGGTTTTTGTGCTGTTGGTTCTAATATTTTTAAACATCAAAGTAGTGAAAAAATACAAGGAGCCAGATTATGTCATCCTTACTCATTTTGAGTGCCATCATCTGCAAGCAGTTCCAACAAAATTCAATTAAGCTACATGTGAAGTGAGATACATCTCAGCATGAGTAAGTGGAGAAGCCCTACATGATGATGAAGCAAGGTCACTTTTATTTCCGTCTTCAGTCACTATCAAGAAAAGCTATTCAAACATTCCTCCTCCATAGCCTTGAATAGGTCTATAGAATAAGGTGATATCTCTCTCTCTTTTTTTTTTTAAACAAAACAGAATAAAATTGTCATTTAGCAAAATTTGAAAAAAAAAAAAAAGCCTCATCTCTGCAAACCACAGATTTTTCTTCAAAAGAAAAGGAAAAAAATTACCCTGCTTCTTGTTGATCCACCCCATAGTGTTCCAGTTCTGTGCCTGGAAGGGGCTGCACGGGAGGGGGTGGGAGGGGAACACTGGCCCAGTTTGAACCATTATTTTTCTGGGGCTTGGCAGCATTTTTGTTTTTCTTCTTTTTCCCTCCTTTGCCACCTGCAAATCCAAAAAGAAAAATAAAATGTTAGAGATATAATGTGGGGAAAAAAGCTAGCTATTTACATTTCTTTGAAAGAATTCTGATTCCAGATGGCATACCCCAAAAAAGAGGATGTATTTATATCTCAGCAGAATCAGCACCAACGTGCTAATGCTGTTAAAAGGTTATAAAGAAAAATAGAATGGAATGGAAAAATATCCTGAATAATTGCTGAAAATCACTTCTTTTTAAAACTCCATACATTTGCACTACAGTAGTGCATAACCAAGGAAAGACATGTTTTGCTGTACCAGAAATATATTTACTGATTTATTCATGACTGCTTGAATTCACTGTTAGGTAAAAATATTACAGACCATAGCAAATTATTTCAAATGTCAGAATCCAATGTGCTTACAACACTGTTTTGCATAATCTCTTTCTGTGGAAAACACAGAGGTTAAGGACACAATCTAAAAAAATTGTCATTATACTCAATATTTTTCAGCCAGAATGACAAGTCTAAGTTGTCAAAACAAAAAGAAACAGGATTTTGCTGATAGGAATTTGCTAAGCTCCATTTTTAAAAAAAATCAGGAAGTCATCTGCAATGTTTTAGGACTGTCTGTTTCACAGCATTCAAGTATCTTGTGCCACTATGGAAAAGAGGTTCTATTTCTGACGTACAACTCTAATGGAGGAGGCTACTAGCAATCAGGTGAGCAATGCTTTTTGCTTAACCCCTCTTCTCTTTTCTTATTGTCCTTGTACCCACTTCTCCAGTTGAGACGCTTCCATTTGTGGGAAAGTCATCTAACAGAAAAATCTCTCTTCCCACTTGTTTGCCTTCTTTTATTTTGCCCTGACTCCTTTTTCTTATCAGGAATTCATTAAGATGAAGAATGGCACAAGGTTTCAAATCCCTTGACTGCTTAGAGACCCGTCTATTTATTGCCATTTTGTTGTGGCTTTCAAACTCTCTGGATTGTTGGGTGGAAGAACGGTTTGCCATATGCGTTTTCAGTGGGGTACCCAGATGGCAGTCAGTCATCCCTTGCTTGGTGCAGAAAGCACAGTGTAATCCATCTTGCTCACTGACATCTCTTGCTGATTTATAAGGATCAGTCAAAAAAAAAAACCCCAAAACAAAACAAAAAGTTCTCATCAGTAATGAATGAAAACCCCACAAGTAAAGCAGGGGGGCACAGTGTGCGCTGGAAGGTACCACCCTCTTTGCCATGGCTATAGCTTTAGGCACAGAGACATCCAGAAGGAGGTGCAATTCCAGCAATAGAGAAAAGAACATGTCACAGGACTTTTCATCTGAGAGACAGTGGCTTGCTTCTGTTATGCCCAAATGTCAGCTGGACCAAAACAGGTACCAATAGAGAGGGAAGAAACAAGGTGATTCTGTGACTCAGAAACAGCCAAGACTTCTCTTTTCACCTCCTGTTGTGGCTGTTTAAGGACAGGCAATAAATCCAGCAGAGTTTCTAATCCTCCTGGCTGGCAGTATGTTGCAAACAAGACTTTGCTTTTCACTACTCAATTCCAAACCAAAGCTCTTCCTTCCTTGTCTTGGAGTATTTACAGTAAGCCCAGCCAAGATCCTGTCATTCACTATGTTCAAACTAAGCTGATATTTCATCTATTAGGATGCAAGACAGGTTCTTCCCTCCTTTTGTAGCCTGGCAGAGAGAGAAGCTTTCTTGAAAAGGGAAAGAACATCTTGATCAACAGAAAAGAAACCCCAGTGATGGTGGCAATGGTGGAACAAATACATGAACCTTTTGGGTGGAAAAAGAAGCTTTCAAAGCACAGGTATGGGGTAAAGCAGAGTTAGAAGTCAGGTCACAGAACAGTACAAAGGAAGTATGTTCATTTCATTTGTGTGAACATGGGGAATTTTTGAAAAGTCAGCAGGAGTAGGAACCAACAACAGCTAAGGCAGGAGGGGCTGCTTTGGGAGGAAAGCACATGCATTAGTGTATGTGTGTGTGTGAGTGTTGCAGGGGGGATTTAAACTAGGAATACTCAGAGAAGAGAAATGCATAGAAGAACTTCAGCTTAAAGATTAGTTGCGGTGGAGAGGAACATTTTGGAAGTGTAGTATCTTGATAGTCTTAGGAGACTGGTAAAACAGAGGTTGGATGTGTAGGGTTGCACTACAGAGACACTTGGATTTGGGGGATTTTGGAAAGAAAGACCAAAGGTAATGGAGCTGTTAGAGTGAAGCAGAGCTGAGGGACTGTTCAGATAAAGAAATAAAAGGAAGGGACTCCAAGGTCATTACTGATAGGGAAAACAGCCTACACTGTACAGTTGGGCAGAAGATTTCTCTTCTGTCTCCATGGGCAGAGTTACTTCACTGTCAGACTAGTGGAACAGACACCTAATACATAATGCCTGATGTGTGTTTGAAAACTGTTGCAGCGCAGCCTTGTTTCCCCATAGCAATGATGCTTGATGTTTCAATATCTCCTCACACTGAAATTCAATTATATTGTTTAAATCTCTAGATGAATCAGGTCCTGGAAAAAGAATCTGCCAGTCGGACTGATGATCATAGCACTGTCATAAGCTGGGAGCTGTGCAAAGTACAGCCACAAAATTTCCCTGCCTCACAAAGCAGTTGAGTTTTTAGCTATTTTCCATTCCACAGTTGGATAGGATTTCTCATGATACTTATTTGAGAGAGACAGAAACTTAGTCAGAATAATAAGTAGTACTTAAAGTACTAACCAAGGAAGTGAGAGAACAAGTCCCTGCTCACCCTGATAGGGACTAGGTAATCAAAGCTGGTCTCTGACTCTAGTGATGCTCTAATTATCGGTCTATTTGAAGGTCTCCCCAAGTTTCTCATGTATTACAGACATAATTAGCCTGTATTAAAGACATAATTAGTGGACAAGGGAGAGCAAAATACTGATGCTGCAGTCCAATAATCTGACACTCATCTGAGCATTGGGGCATTCAGGTGTGAGCTGCTTTGATCACAACAGGAGCGCCCTGGCCACAGAAAGACTAGCTAACCTGAAGTTTCTGTGTGTCATCAGAAATTTTACTTCAAACTGAGAAATGCTACACAAAACATATTTCACTTGAAATATTTGTTCAAAGTCCAGCTTTTGATAAATTGGCATTTTCCAATGAAACTTTGTATTTTCTGAGAAAGTTCTTAGGCAGTTGTAGCTGTCAACACATCTAAAGTGTGATACTGCCCTCTGATAACTGGCACATATGTACCTTAGCATATCAATTTCTACATTTTCATGCAGCCAGAGGAGCAAGCTGATTTCCTGAGCTACTTGCCAATACATCTCACATAAAAGGAACAAGAACCTTTTTTGAAGTATCGTATGAACTTAGCTCCCAGATACCTCTCTGTCAAAGCCATAAGCCCATTTTTCTGTTTCACTCAAATCAGCTGATACTCCCATTGAGAACACAAGACCTGCAAACACATTTGGCTACTTGAGTTACAGTCCAATGATTCTAATCTCTTCTAATCTCATCTCTAATCTCAACATTCAATTTGAATAGTCATTTAAATTGGCATAAAGAAGCCACTTCTATGGTTAATCTGTTACTGTTACAATTACTCCAACTTATACTGGAAATTCAAAAGGCTACAGATATAGCATGAATATGAAACTGAAGTCCCTCCAGCTCTTTCATATGTCAGGTAAGGGAAACAGCAGACTTTCATTTTAATTGCTGGCTTTTCAGTTTTTGCATTAAAAAAAAAAAAAAAGACATAGTTATACATAACATAAGCAACAAGTAAGCAAAATTAAAGAAATCAAGAAAAAGGTGTGTTTAAATATAATACACAACCACACATACTACAATCATTTTCATCCAATGAAAATGCATCATGTTTCCAATATAACATGCAGCACACACATAAAATTTACAGTGTGTTTGTATGCAGACTTGGCACAGTTTTTGAAACCGCAGTCATCTTGCAGGGCCCTACATTAATTTCTGAGCTGCTTCACTGAGAAACAGCATTCAGAAACAGCTTGTGGGAGCGGGGAATCTGTTAACAACTCGAGAAAAATATCAATCTCCTCATGAAGTTCAGTGTGGGGAGATCTACAGACTGAGGGTTGATAGAGAAATATTTGTGCTCTATGAACTGTGCTGTCAGGGAGATCATGTGACAGGGCAAGGTTTGCAACTGAGCCCACAAATGCTGGTTGAGAGGATTCCCTGGTTGTCTAAGAGGTTTTGCAAAAGGCATTTTGGGTTGGTTTGGTTTTTTTTTCAGTAGAGGCCAACGTGAGGCCGCTCTCTGAACGTTCCGGTGGACTGGCACCCTCATATGCCTATCCGCAAAGCGCAGCTGGAAGGTCTTCTGCCTCCCTGGCGAGCTGCTGGCCAACACCCCTCCGTCCCTCACCCACCCACGGCGGTGGAACCAACCTGAGAGGCTGCCACTCCTTTCGGAGCTGTTGTGGGAGCTGGTGGTGCTGAAATCCTGTGACTGGTTGTGTGGCAATCTATTAGCCAATCCCTCAGCCACGCGGTAGTCAGGGATGTAAAGCAAGGCTAAGGGTTAAAGGGCAAAGGTCACAGTGGCGTCGTGTGATTAGTTGACAGCACAAGCACATGCAACACATGCAGTTAGCAAGTCTACGGCAGATGCGGTGGGGCAGCAAGCTGTAATTTTTTATTTTTTTATTTTTTTAATGGATACCTATCCTAGTCTAATGGAAGGCAGATGGCTTGGTGATTAGCACAGGACAACAAGGATTAAAAGCACAGAACAATATATTTTGTGACTGTGTGAGGTTCAGCACGCATGCAAGGTCTGTAAGCATTAGTTACCGTTAATATGAACAGTGTTTCACATACTAAAAAGAATTTTCTAATTCATGCGTAGATGATACAGTATAAAGCCAAGGGCTCTGGAAAGTAAGAGCTGTAATTACCATTGTTGCCTTTGCCTTGGTCTGGGAGAGAGTAACCGAATCCCATCAGGTCATTTTTTTGCTGAATTGAGCTTTTCCACTGAGGATCAGGTAAGTCAACAGCCAACTCATGGATGCTGTTGGAATGCAGTATCTGGGTGGTGGCATATGGCGTGGCCTGCGTTATTTGGCTGGAACTGTTGTAACTAGTCTTCGTGGTGAAGTCAATGCTGCTGTAAATGGCTCCATCAGAAAGCATAGTAGCAGTTTTATCTCCTTGTCCTGGCACTGGTGGCAGCACATCTGTGGTGAACACAGGGGAATGAAACAAATCACTGATGCACAGGAAGCCTGAAAGTATCAAGGTTTAAGATGAAAAATAAATGTGTCATTTTGCACGTTTGCATTTCAGCTGAGACAGGTCCATGAGCCAACGAAGGGAAGATGATGTACAACCATCGCCAAGCTATCAGCATCTGTGACAGGCCTACCACTTGTCCTTCACGTCTCACTGCCTAAAACCATCTTTTTTTCCCCTATACCTTCAACTGTGAAAGTGCAGTTTGGAATATTTCTGTACTGAAGAATGTTTTCAATTGTTCACTCTATGTCACAACCAATGAAACTGTCTGGGCTTCAGGAAAATGATGAAAGGAGTGAATCTACAAATCACACATGAAACTTTCCCAGCAAAGTTCTTAGATGGATGCCAAAGCTCTCAAAATAGTTTTTTAAGGGTATCACCTTGATATTCTTGAAGTTTTACACGTTAGCTTACCTAATTTTCTTTTTGACATTAGCTAGTACATTCCTCCTTTTCAATAACTAAAAAAAATAACACCTGACAAAACCAAGTTGTTCCTGAAAGGTGAAAGAAAATCTGTTATTCTGAAGGGATTTAAGTGATCGGTCTCTTAAAATGGCAAAGCAGTGTTGATAATGGAGAACAACTTGTTCAAATACTCCCAAACATTTACCTGAAAAACAGTACAGCGTACTTAACTAAACTTCTGTTCACTTTTCTACACCTTTTGAATCCTATCACACACTGCATTTTGTATCTTTAATCAGTTAGAGTGGCAATCTCTCCTTACTAAACATTGCAGTGACCTTTGCTGGTGGAATACTAGATTTAGAAGCTGAGACTACTGAAGTGTGAAGAATCTAATGATGCCAGAATCTAATGATGACTGGCATGATGTCCCAAAGAGAACCACAGTTCAGCAGATAACCCTCTTCCTGCACTCTCAGAGGTCAATATATCAAATGGTACTATATTTATAATTTATTTCAATTCTGAAAAGTTGAATCCATTCTGGAATTTGCTTGTTAGAAAAATGCAACATTTATATGACATTTCTTTTGATATAGCTGGATGACAGATTTGGACTCCAGCTGTTAGATCGTACTTGAGATAATGCATACTCCTATAGTGAAGATGTTCAGATCCCGTTCTAGGTATCGCAGACATTTTTATATACCTTAAGCCCCAAAGAGAAAAGATGATTCTTGCACCTAGACAAGAGTTTAGGCTCAGTTCCAGACTCAGACATGGGCTTTGTGCAACCTCAGGGAATACAGTTGTTCTCTCATTGTCTCAAGAATTTTCCAGCAATGAGATATAATACCATGGCCTCCTCCTCCCAGTATTATTTTTTTTTTTGCTTGGTTTGTTTGGGTTTTTTCTTGGGATGAGCATTTAAGACCACAGAACTATTTTCTACTGCATTCATGTGTGCAACTGAACGTTTTAATATGGACCCTAATAACATCTGTAGTCTCAGGGCAACAACATAATATTAACAATAAATATGGCAATAACAAGGGCTCAGTAGACAGACTGCAGAAACAATGATTAAATCTGGGTCTATTGGTATGATCTGTTTTTGCAGACAACAGTAACAGGGAAATGGGCACAATCAAGTATTTAAAATGCCTTAATTGAATTAACTTATATCTGCAGATAAATTGTAAGTGCAAAAAATATTAGAATTAATGCAAACTACAGGTCATATTTCAAAATCAGGTTATTGTTATCTATCCACACATATCCAATGTGCTTCCTAAGGGCAGTACACAATCATAAAAGCATCTATGTACAAATGAGATGTGAGAGATAAGTGGAGTCCTATCTTTCTTGCATTTCATCCTCAGTAAGAAGATTTTTCCTTTCTGCAATTGGTTGCATCAATGTATAACGGATTGAAGTTCAGTAAATAAAATCTGTTGTTGATGTATAAAATGAAGTAAGTCCAGCTCAACATGTCTGTGTGGGATTTGCACACTCACTTAAGTAAAAATTAGCAAAATGTTCACCTCTCAAGTACTCAGACACACATCTACCTTTAAGAACGGGTTTCTGGCAACTGAAGAGGTAACATCTCTATACAGTCATTTTAACATGCAGAACTATACATTTACACACACTTGAGAGTAAAGTTGCATAGCTCCCCACCAGCCAAGAATTTTCAGTCACTCTTACTAATAATCTGAGGTTCTCCAGACATTCTGAGAATTTTCAGTTCAACCACAGATTACGTTTTTGACCTCAATGAGATGTATACACCAAGCACTCAAAGAGCTATTAAAGTGCCATTTTACAAAGTGCCATAATCACTTAGTAAAAATCAAGTGTAATTTTCCTACCAAGCTGTCATAGAAAAAAAACCACGCTGCACACTTCAGACCACAGATGAACACACATTTCCCACTGGACACTTCCCTAAAAACTCTCCAAAATCCTACTTGTTTTACAACTTTTGAGATAAATGAAATCGTGCTGAAGTACTTCCTGAGGGAGACTCTTTCTTGCCATTTTATGAGATGCAGCACCATTTTGTAGTCTTATGTGACTCCAAGCCTAACCTGTGTTTTCCACTTACAGACTTGCTCTCAAATGCCTATCTAGGCTATAATGTGGATTTCACTCTTAACGGCAGTGTTAGAACTGCCTGCCTCAGCTTCTGAGTTTTCAGAGTGGTCGATTGCCACCTTACTGTTTTCAAAATTCTTACAGACCTTTTATATTATCAGAGACCTTTTAGCCACTAAAAGAGGCCCAAGTTCGATCTATACAGCAAATTTATGTTTAAAGACATCTGACTTTTAATCCATCTTTAATGTAGAAGCAACCAAACTCAGCTGCTGAAACAGATAGGGATAAGTAGTCCCGAAACAGCCAAAATAAAAGTGTCAGCTCAACTGTAAAGATCATGGGTGGAATTAAGCTGCTGAAATTCCAAATATAATGGTTGCACCTCTTGGATAAATTTGGACTCACGCCTCATCTGCACTGAAGCCAAAAGCTTTAAGACATGCTTCCAATTTCAGTCGTATATATACAAATGCTAAAATAAAATGGTAATTCTTCTGTAGCATGTGAGCTTATGGAAAGATGGAAAAGTACTGAAGAGTTTTATTTTCAATATATTCACAACAAAGAAGTTGGCAGATATTCAGTTGCCTTCAAAATATTATCAAAAATTTTGGTTACTTTCTAATATTTTGTAAGACAATAATTTTACAACATTTTTAAATGGAAAATATATCCAGAGTGTCTTGTAATTTGAAGTCACAGTAGTCAAACCACAGGCAAGAAATTTTGCACAGGAATGTATGACTGATGTGAGGGATGGTTTTTCAAAGCACATTCCGGTGCAGTTCAAAATGGAATTCTTTTCCCCTTTAGCAGTTTGATGGTTTTATAGGTATTTTGCATTTAATGTATTTTTTATATATAAGTTGCCTTGATTTTTATTTACTTATTTGTGTCTTAAAAATATTTATTATACTCATCTGCAATTGTCTTGCTCTGAACACCGCTTTGCGGAACTAGCTGTGTTATAACATCACAGAAACCAAAGAAGTAACAGGGAGATGTGAATATTACTATGACTTTTAAAAATCCCAATCATACATCTTGAAATTCCCATTTGAATAAAATGTTTGAAAGAAAACAACCCCTCTAAAGATTCATCACCATGATTATAAATCATTACCTCATATCCCCAAAGAGCCTCCCTCAGTTCAAAATGGTAATAAAACCCTAAAAAAATATCTAAAGAGTTCCCTCTTATGTATTCTTTCCTCCAATAAGAAGAAAAGTTTCTGAAGACCTTCGAGGCCTTCTTCATGGATTATGGTTGAGATTGAGAGCAGTTCCTCAGCAGGAAGGGGATGGGTAAGGTGACAGTGACAATGTTTTTCTGTCTTTATTCTGCTTAAGGAACATCCTTCCTCCGTCCTCTGAGTTCTTCTCTGCTCTATGGACATCCTCTATCCTTGGCTACATTGCCCTGCACAGCAAATTTCTCCTCTCCACACAAAAGGGAATTAGTTGGAGCAACAAATACATTCCTCTTGAGATGATAAGCAGACTCTCTCTCACCACTGTGGGGTAAATTACAAACTAGATCTAAATTTTAAAGTAGAAAGAGACAAAGCAAAACGAACGTTTTAAAGTCCATTTAAAATCAAATCTTGAGTCAATTATAGAAAGAAATATAATGATAAGAATACTGCACAGTGCATATCATAGATGTTAACTAACAGAAACTTATTGCATACTATATGGTGACTCAATAAAATGAAACCTACCTCCACGACCGAAATTGGCAAGATCATTTGGTCCACTAGTGCTGTTGTTTACTGGCAGACTTGTGGCAGGCCAAGAGTCTGCAAGCCAAGGATAACTGGGGTCACTTGCATTCAGCAGACCTGGTCGACTGAAGCAGAATAAGAAAAAAGGTATACATACATATATATATATATATTTACAAAATTAAAATATCTGTGACACAACTAGTGATTGAAGAGACCACATCACTGTTCTCCTAACACCATAGGTAACAAACAGTTTAGGAGACTTTAATTTATTTCAAATTAAAATTGTGTAGCCTTTGATGATTTAAAGACCTTGAGCAGTTAATTAAGGATATATACAAATCAACTCTGTCAGTAGAAGTGGGACTAGGCATCCGTCGTGATTCTGCCAGAATCCAAATGAGCTCCCTTGTCTGTGTGAAAAAGGGGTTGGGCAGCACCATCGTGGGATCCTGCACCAGGGCTGCATGATAAATTACCACCTCAAGGGAGCCATCACTCAAACTGATTGCTCCGTATCAGCCATTTCCAGGACTTTGGGCTACTATTTCTTCCTTCCCTTGCATCCCAAATGCACGCCTGTCATCTACAGGCTGGTAACTCTTTCTTTGAGCACTCTTGGATGGTTTAGAGGCAAACAGGTTTGAGCAGGATTAATGGAAAGTCCACAGCTATCTTTATCTGCCACTACTGCATGGCTTTTATATCCCTCTAATTCCCAGCTTTGAGAGCAGTATTAAACAGCGAGTATGTTCAAAGAGAAGGTACACTTGGGCCATAAGGCACCGTGCCTCTCTCACCCCAGGATAAACAGCCAGGAATTTAGCAAGGCAGTTGAATTGTTTGTATTTGTATTTAACAGGGAAAACAAATAATTTCCTGCAGACACCCCCCTTCCCCCAAATGAAAAAGAAAAACATCCACAGTTCTTCACCTTTTTAGGTTATTAATGCACTCATGAAGTTGGAGCAACATCTCCGATCACTGTATGTTATAGACCCCTGCCTGGTACAATCCCTAAGAGAAACATTGGTTTCTATGGAAACGGCAATAAGAAGACCCAGCCGCTTTCTTGCCACATCTACTCGCTCTCATTAGGCCTAATCTCTTTTTGCTAAAATATTGATTAAATGGGAGATTGGAAGTTATTACCAGGGCCTAATTACAATCTCCATATTGGCAAAGGGAAAATAGATGAGGATATATGGGCCCGTTATCAGCTTTTATCAATTTCAATTGAGTAGCCAAAGTTGTGGAATCCAGTCCTATCAATCTACAGCCTATTCATCATCCATGAATCATTTATTTCGTGATCGATTAAGTGTAATTGTTCACTCACAGCAATTTAGGGGGAGCCAATAAGGAGTCTTAAACAACAGCAACTTCATTTGCTAATGTCTAATTAATGCAATAAACATCCCGGTAACAAATGAACACATTCTTTGTGATATTTACTACTCATTTCTTCCAGGGCATCTGGGAGATATGAAACATCTGGGCTTGATTCCTCCAAAGTGTACAACAGATAGGTCATTAAACCTTGTGGTAAGCTACTTAACTCCTCCTAGCATTGTCAATCTTCCAAACGATCGGTTATTACCCAAGTGCATCACCTATAGCATTTTTCAGATCCCTAATATTAAAAATAAGCAGGATGGAAAGACCTTTATACAAAGAAACATACCTTCCATTGCTCATTAGTCCTCCATCTCCTCTTTGGAAAGTGACTGTGTTTTGGTTGAAAAAACAAAACAAACAAACAAACATACACACACACGCACACACATATAAGACAGGGAAAAATCAATTAGTAATAATTAAAAGTAACAATTCAAACTGCTCAGTGTCTGACATCGGAGGCCTCTTGGCATCATCACATAATAAAGTACAGAAAATATGGGAAAAGGATCAAACACGTTAGGGTTACAGTTTGTTTGGCATTTCAGTGCACCTTATTGACTAGTGTCAATTTGCTCTGGAGCTTGTAAGGCAAACCAGCCGCCTGGGTAAAAGGCCTGAATTTACCACAGGCCCCTTCATATGACTTTGTGTTGTGAGACTTTGCCATGAGATGAAATTGTTTTCTTGGCATGCTTTTGCTTCAGTACATAATGACATTGCACCAGTGAGTTAATAACATCATGTCGTAATACAGTAATATAATGTCACCACACAAATATGTCATTTCCCAGGACAAATACAAAGAGGTGGCAGCTCTATTAGAGCTGAAGAGGTGAAAAAAACCATACAGCTGCACCATTTCCACTAAAAGTACAGTATAAGAATCAGCACCCACACATAAATGCATAAACATCAGTATCACTGGGAAGAAAAAATGTTTCCACTCTTGCCATGAGGGATGCCAAGGATATGTTCGGAGGGAGACAATGTCTCCATTCATGGGTGTTTGACAAAAAACCAGCCTATCCCTTATCTATCTTATTAACAGGATTACATTTCAGGGCAATATAGGTAAACCCACATTACTGGTGAGATGCTAATTGACAGCATTTGATGGTCCTTTTTGAAGCACTGGCAAATCTTTTGAATCAAGGCCAACAAACTACTCTGGTTCTCAGTGGCAATATCCCATTATTTATTGTCAGGCATAGATAAGGCAGACTATTAAATTATATCAATGTTCTGGACACCTGCCTCCTTACAAGCCCCTGACAAGATGAGGGTTTGAATTTCAGAGAGGAAAGGAAGAATCTGTGGCCAGTTTAATTTAAAATCGGCCTTGGTTTGGAAATACTATTTACTTTTGCAAGACAGACATTCCCATCATTAAATTATAGCTGCCAGAGTATTTGCAAGATTTTCCAAATATTAGTCCAAACTACACTAATTCAAGATTAGGCTTTCTATTATAAACCATTTTAATCAGACAAAATTGCTACACCCAGTAGAAATGCTTTGATCATGAAAAAAATTAGCAATGACATAAATCCATTGGGAAAATACTTCTGATACTGTCTAGAATCCTTGTCACTTTATTAACTCCTAGGATAATTTCACAGTCTACATTCAGCAAAGGAAGCAAAACTGGCCCCTCTGGAAGCCCTCTGGAACAGTGCTTGGGTATGGTGATTAATTATCCTTCACTGCAGAACAGACTAATATCAATATCAGAAAATCACTGCAGTCATATGTCACATCAAAATGGTTAATAGCTGAATTTTGAAAGGATGTAATCAAACCAATTAATGAAAAGAAAATCAAAATGCAAGTATGGGAAGTATTAAATAAAAGTCTGCTTTGAAAAACAAGACATGGTAAAACATTGCAGCTAATTAATTTTAGAGTCGATGCTACTTTCATTCACGTTGCTTCTAACAGGCTGTCAAATGACTGTACCACTCATTGCTTAAAAGTGAATAATCTGAAGTGCTGTGGATATCATGTGTGAATATGCAAAGAGGTGGGTACTGCCTGGCTGTGTTTCAAAGTATGTTGGTCAAAAGTACATTAGATGCTATTTCCTTTCTCCTCCTCTTCAATTGTAATACTCCATTTTCCCAACTTTCCGCATTTGTCAAAGTGACAAGAAATATGAAAAAATGAGAAACAAAGACCCTTATACATAAAGTTTACGGATTTAAGGGAATTGCACTAAAACATATTTTCTAAAAACTTCTAGGGATTAATGTTCTTGTTTAGACTATCATCTACCACAAATAATTTTAAAGTGATATTGTCACCACTTTTATAGCACATACAGGTGTATGAGGTTTTAAAAAACAAAAATCAATACTTGTGGTCTTCAAAATATTTATATCCCTTGTGTATAGCAAAGCTAAAATGGGGAAGCTAGTAGGAGATTGCAGCAACGTTTGCCAGACATTTTTTGTTTTCCATGTAGAGAAAACTCCAAGGCATGCTGTGAGAAACATATCAAGAAGACATGATATCAAAACCTCTTCTCTAGAGCCATAATTGCTGCAGATTGGCTGTGGCATATGAGCTTGTATCACAGCATTTACTCTTTTTTCTTCTGTCTGTGTATCCTGGTGGTAGTAACCATTTCCTGTTTTTTTTTTCCTACATCAAATAATCTTACACCTTCCCAATATAAACCCTGTTTTTAGAAGAAAGGTTCGGCTTAGTTTATTAAAAAAAGAATTTGCCTTGCAGTGACATTGTTTTTCCTGGGGAAGGCTGTGCCTGGCTTACGTGATGTCTACGGAACTGGGAAGGAATACAGGTTCTTTCATTTACCCTCCACCCTGTATACCAATGCACAGATGGTTACAATCTTCACGAGAAAATAAACAAGAAAGTATTTTAGTTACTATCCTTGGTGGAAAAAGATGCAGAATATGAACTAAGCTAGCCAAAATTCCTCTTGAAGTTTGGACATGTCACCAGGATGTTACAGAAAAAAAATCATATTCCTGATGCCATCCGTAAATGGGCTACCTGAGGCTGGATAGAGAAGGTGCCTTTCTTTTAGCATCAATATTGTGAAAGGAAAGACAGCTAACAACAGAAGATATGGTCAGGCTGCCAACACAAGCACTATGTTTATCATTCCTGCCGTGCGTTTTGTCAGCATTTTTGCCTGCAGTTTGATTTCTGCAATTACAAAACAAGTCTAAACGCCTGAATAGGAGCATACTTAATGCAATGCAGGCTTGTAGATGTCACTGTAAAAATAAAACACACAGACAGCTGGCTTTATTCATCCTGTCTCCATTTCAAAAAGAAGTAGAGCAATTTCAAGGGGCAATGTAAGAGGAGGAAGGGAAGGATGTCCCTATCAGTGACCCACCCATCTCCCTTGCTTTTTATCACTGAGGAAGCAAAAAAGCTCTTTCAGCACTCTTTGCATCTGATATATGTTCTTAGGAAGGCTGAAGACCTGCAGGGATGAGATTGGTTTTCAAAAGAAGATGAAAAAATAACCTCTGCATAGAGAGATTTTGAAGGAATCCCCACCATCTTACATTTCAAGGAGTGTAAAAATGCGGAAATATAATCCAAAGTGCATTTTTAATGCATAAATATTTAAGGAAATTATATTGTATATATTTGTATGAAGAACAGCATATGATAAGGAGGAGCTTTTCACATGCTTTTTATTAAATATATAAGGAGGTACCCAAACCATTTACTAATATTATCTGACAAGGTTAAACTTAATCTTCATGCCTGCTAGAATTGGAAAAATAAGAATGCATAGTAAGTTGACATTCTGAGGCAAGAAAGCTTTAGAAAGCTTTAGAAAGCTTTCTGTATGCCTATCTCTAGTAGGCCACATTTTCCTACCGCAAATGAAAACTTTAATGTTGCCAGCCTAGACTCATTCCTTTTTCTGATAAGCTGTTCCTCAAATATGAATGTAGATTAATCCTCTTTTAATAAGCATTAACTCAGAACAGATAATCAGCATATAAAAATTCCATCAAATCTTCTGTCTACTTTTGGATGATTCTGTCAAATAATTTGTCCTCATTTAACAGTTTCAGGAGTTGCGCACAAAATGTGTAGCATCCCATAATTCTCTATCTATTTTTAATTTGTTTTTGTTTACTCAGTTTCATGAAATCTTTTATCCCAAGGAGCACTAGTCACTAAATAAGCTTACCTACTCGTAAGTGAAAATACATATTTACTTTCTTTGCATGACTGATGGCCTAGACACTTGAAAACACCTGAGTATTCAATTGAGTGGGTACTGTTACAACAATGAATTTGAGGGCACAGGAAAGACAAGCAGATAAAAGAAATTTCTCTTATTTCTACAAACGGATTCCACGCCTTTGTTGTATGAGTCCTTCTACCAAAATGTGAAAAGAGAATTGCAACTTTCAGTACAAAATAAACAAATTCTGTTCAGTCACTGTAATACAGGAATGAAACAATTAATCTATAATACAAGAAGTGGCCAAATATCTTTTTTTCTGTCCATCTGTCTTTCCTTGTATCATGTAGAAATCTACGGTGTGTCCAGAAACAACAGGGCAGCAGTACTTTAGATTTTACAGAAAATCACAAAATTAAGACCAATACATCCTTTACATCACAGAACAGATGACTGAGAAGGGGTAACATTTGTATTTGGTGTCTCTGTGCCAGATTTGGTTTTGCTGATAGCATGCATGGTCCCAAAACCATACACTTCTTGTATAGCTGCAGAGGATGACACTACTACTTACCAGTAGGAATCTAACAAACATAGTCAAAAATCATATGTTTTCTAGTATTGATATTACCGAGAATCAATGGTTGGTGTGTCATGATGGTGAAAAGGAAGGGGAGGAATAGTCATGCACAGAATTGTGGCTCAATAACTACTAGAGTCAGCTCAACTGAAAACAAGTAAAAAGATTTAGCTATGATTTTCAATGTCACTTTATTTGTGACCATCTGAGCAATCAATCAGTGCTTATGAAAATTTTCACAAAGGCAGAAAGCTTAATGAATTTAACTGAATTATTTATCAATTATTCTTTTCTGGCACAAAGCTTTACCAATTGCCTGACATTTGCTGTTTACTCTTCTCCTACACAGACTGTTACAGTAGTTTAGTCACACAGCAGAAATTATACCTCTTAGGAGCCTAATAACAGAATACAAATTACAAAGTACCAGCGAATGGCCCATAATCTGAAAATGACCTGAAAGAACAATTTTAGCAAGTAATTATGTAACTGCAGAATCTAAACTTTTAAAAAACTATTTTTAGTGTTTTAAGTTCTACACATATGCCAATACCACTAAAAAC